CAGGATCACGGTGGGACGGTCCCAGAGGGATGAGGAGAGGGGAGGAAGCGGCAGCAGCAGGGTCAGAGTTGGGCAGAGTGAGATGCTGGGAGCAATTCCCAAAAAGTAGTGATTTAGTGGGAGCAGCACCACGGGATGGGGGGCTGGCATCGCCCCCGGGGGTGGGAAGGGGCTGCTGTTCCTACAAACCACATCAACCACAGGGCTCAGGGAAAGCCAGCCCTGCACGGTGCCCAGGGAGGGAGAGCTCCAGAGGGTGATCCCAAATCTGGGAAGCACACGAGGGATCCAGAATTTGCCTTCTGAGAGGAGCAAAGCAGGAGCCAGAATTCCCTGGACACTCGTGTTCCTCTGGAACCTGCATCTCCCAGTCCAGAGCCACCAAAAAAAGCAGGAATGAAAGGAAAACCTCGGAAAGTGCCACCCCTTGAACAAGGGCAGTTGGGAGCAATTTGGGAACCTGGAATTCTTTCCAGGCTGGAATATCACCGCATTAAATCCAGTGTGATTCTGTTCCAGCCCCAGGAGTGGGGCAGGTTTCCATCTGGGCACAAAGAAATGCTCCCCAAAGGGATTCTCCCTGTGGAATGTAGAGAATCGTGGAATCACGGAATGGTTTGGGTTGGAAAGGAACCTTAAGGATCATCCAGTTCCAAGCCCTTGCCACGGAGCTTTAATTCCCATTGGGAATTGCTGACTCAAGCTGGAGATTTTGGGTAATTCCATTCTGGGGCAGATGTCCGGGTTTCCCACCTGGAGAAGTCCCCCATCCCATGATCCATGTGCTCACAGGGGGGATTAGTGCCGGCAGGGAATGGGGAGGTTATCCAGGAGGTGAGTCCCAAGGAGGAGGGAGAGCATCCCCAGCAGCCCCTGGGAACCCCCTGCTTCCCAAAATCCTTCCTCTGAGGCTGCTCACCCCCAGAATCACGGAATGGTTTGGGTTGGAAGGGATCTTAGTGATCAGTCCTTCGGGGAATCCATGTGGGATGAAGGGAAAGCTCGGGGGAAGAGCTCCTGCCTCTCCCTGCACCCTCTCCAGGTTGAGCTTTGGAGGCCCCAGGGGACACTTGGCTTCCAACCCTGCACCATCTCCAGCTCTTCCTGAGTCCTTCTCGCTCCCTGCTGCTCTCCTGGGCCTTTTCCAGTGGCTCTCCCGGCCCTCAGCGATTCCAGGAGGATCAGATGTCCCAGCAGACGGACAGCAGGGAGCAGGGAGTGCCGGGGAGGAGGCAGGAGCAGGCAGGGATCAGGGAACAAGCAATTCCCAGGCACAGCTCTCACCCACAGCGGGTCAGAGGGGGGACACAGCCAGGAAAACACCTGCTGGCAGTGGGATGGCTTGGACAAGGACAAATCCAAGGGAATGCAGGTGGGATGGAGCTCTGGAGCTCGGCTGATCCCACCTTGGCGATGAGCCAGGGCTGGAAGAGCGGTGGGTGAAGCCAACACTGAGCCGGGGCTGGGAGCGTCTCCCAGTTGGAATGGCAGCTCCAAGAAGGGCTTAAATCCCACAGTTTGGAGGGGATTTGGCCCCAAAAGGCCGTTCCCAAGCAGAGATGGAGCAGGAGGATGGTCCCAGCCTGGTCCTCCAGGAGCTGGATTCTCCCCAGGGCGCTGGAGACTCGGGCTGGCCCCAAACTTTGGGGTGAGGCTCAGGGGGAGGGGAGGGGTGGGGGTCCCACGGGGCAGGAGAGCCAGGCCAGGCCCCTCTGGAGGAGCTGCTCTCCCCGAGAGTCTCTGCTGGGATTTTGCTTGGATTTCTGGGAAAAGGAAGGGGGTGGAGGGGAGCAAAATACCCATTGGAGGAGCCCCTCGGAGAACAAGGCCGGGAGGCAGAGCTGTGGAATTCCCCATCCAGGGATGGGAAAAAGGGAGGAGAAAGAGCAGAGAGATGATTATGGTCACACCAACTCATGGGAGCACAGGGGTGGGCCCTGCTCCCTCGGGAAAGGCAGCTGGGAAAGTGTGCTCATCCCATCCAGTCCAACCTTCCACGGGAATGTGGCCAGGCTCTCTGCAGGCCTCAGGTCCTTCCCTAGCTCATCTCCCAGATTTTGGGGTCACCTGGCTCCAGGGGCCACCCCAACACTCCAGCAGACCCCTGCCTGGAGTTTTCCAGGATAGAATTTCCCTCATAGTGATCTGCTCCGAAGGAACCACGAGGTCTGGGGAGAGACCTGGACAGGTTGGGATCCTGGTCTTGGAATCACAGAATCATGGAATAGTTTGGGTTAGACTCAAAAGTCATCCAGTCCAAACCTCCTGGGATGAGCAGGGACACCTCCCACCATCCCAGTTTGCTCCAGGCCCCATCCAACCTAACCCTGAACTTTTCCAGGGATGGGGCAGCCACCACCTCCCTGATGAGATTATTTCCTTCAGAACCACTGGAACAGTCCAGGAAATCCTCAATTCCTGGCCAATCCCCCAGGAAAAGGTGGCAACTGGGACTCCAGTTGAGGTGCAGCCGAGGGCCAGCCCAGCATTCCAGCTTTTCCATGCGTGCTCTGGGAAGGGGGAACTCCTCACACACACACACACATCCCAGGGAGCTGGGATGGATCCCAACATGCTTCCCAATCCCACCTTGACTTTCCCTGCCATGGCTCAAGCACAGAGTCCACCCACCCCGTCCTGCTGGTGGTCATTCCTGTCCCCAAAACCCGGATGCTCCTGGAAAAAGGGGCTCCCCCAGGGAGGCAAATCTGCCCCAGCCCGAGATGAAAAGCAAGGGATCCCTAAAGACTCACCTCGTCCAGGCTGGAGGACAAATCACTCTGGAAAAGAGGAGGAGAGGACAGAATTAGAGGAATTCTCATCCATCAGCCCATCCAGAGGTTTGGAATTGCAGTTGAAGCTGAATAGAATCCAGGAATGGTTTGGGCTGGGAGGGACCTGAAAGCTCATCCAGTTCCACCCAGGGACACCTTCCACCAGCCCAGGTTGCACCAACCTGGCCTTGGACACTCCCAGGGATCCAGGGGCAGCCACAGCTTCTCTGGGAATTCCATCCCAGCCCCTCCCCACCCTCCCACGGAAGAATTTCTTCCCAACATCCCACTCAAATCTCCCTCTTTCCAGTCTAAACCCATTCCCTGTGTCCTGTCCCTCCCTGCCTTGTCCCCAGTCCCTCTCCAGCTCTCCTGGAGCCCCTTCAGGCCCTGCCAGGGGCTCTCAGCTCTCCCTGGAGCCTTCTCTTCTCCAGGGGAACCCCCCCAGCTCTCCCAGCCTGGCTCCAGCCCTTGGAGCATCTCCGGGGTCTCCTCTGGACCTTGGAATGGGACACATTTCCCCCCCTCTAACAGGCCATAAATGAGCTTTCCCACTTTTTCCAGCTCTTTTTACCAGCTGAAGGACACCTGGAATCTCTGCAAGGAGACTCCTTCATCCTAAAATAATTCCTGAGGACGGGACGGACAAACTGCCCGTGGAAGTTCCAAGAGGTTCATGCAGAGCTCAGGTGGAGCAGGGGATGGAGCAGGGGATGGAGCAGGGCCAGGGATGGAGCAGGGGATGGAGTAGGGGATGGAGCAGAGGATAGAGCAGAGGATAGAGCAGAGGATGGAGCAGGGCCAGGGATGGAGCAGGGGATGGAGCAGGAGATGGAGCAGGGGATGGAACAGGGGATGGAGCAGGGCCAGGGATGGAGCAGGGATGGAGCAGGGGATGAGCACGGGGATGGAGCAGGGGATGGAGCAGAGCCAGGGCTGGAGTTGCAGGGAAGAGTCAGGAATTACCTCGAAGCCGGGGATGTGATGGACAGCCGGCTGTGGAGAGAGAACACAATTCCCACTGCGATTCCTGCTGCCACCTCAGCCTTCCCCAGCAGGGAACATCAGCCCCACCTTGCCCACCTCCGTGCCCAGCTCCAAACACCCTTGGCACGAGGATTCCAGGGAAACCAGGGCCCTCCCTTATCCAGGAGGCACCGGCAGAACCTCAAACCCACCTGGGTGATTTGTGGATCCCACAGGCCCTTCCCAAGGATTCCCCTCAGGGGGTGAGGGGGAAGCAGAGGGCCCTGCAGGGGAGTTGGTGCCTTGTCCTGTCTCCAGGGGCTGTGCTGGGACCTCCAGGCAGGAGGGAACTGCGGGATCCCCATTCCCAGGGACACCTGGGCTGGGGTGGGATGGGATGGGATTGATGGGATGGGATGGGATGGGATTGATGGGATGGGATGGGATGGGGTGGAATGGGGTGGGATGGGGTGGGATGGGGGATGGAGCTCCCAGCCCATCCATGTTCCCTGGCACAGGGGCACCCCTGGCATGTGCAGCAGCCACTGGAAAGGGCAGTGTGGCTTCAAGCTCTCCTAAACCCCCTCCAGAAATCAATTCCAAGCAAAGGGCAGCATTCCTTATGGATCTCTGCAGTCCCAGCTCCCCACAGCTCCCCCTGAGCCCTCCAGGGGTTGTCTTAGGAGAGAAGGAGCCATCCAGCCCTTCCCACCTGCACTGACACCTGGAATTCTGCAGGTTTCCATCAGGCCAGCCCTAAACCACCTCCTCCTCCAGCTGGAGAGGCTCAGCCCGTGGATTTATTCCTCAAAAAGGGCCAAATCCACGAGGCTCTTCCCGAGCCTGAGCCCGGGGGGACACAACCCGGCACCCGGCAAAGGTCGGATCCGGCGGGCAGGGAGACTCCAGGGGGAGAAACCAGCGCTCCAGGAGGGCAGGAGGGATGGGTGGGGGTCTCACCTTCTCCCTCTGGATGAGCTCGAAGGCCGCCAGCAGCTCCCCCACGTTCCTGCTGCCCTTGGTGACGGGGTGCCAGGCCAGGCGGGGCGAGCGCTCCAGGCTGGGCCGGCAGATGCAGCGGCCCATGAACTCGTCTGCTCCCTGCAGGGGGAAACAAGGGCTCTGGGAGCCTCCTTCCCAACCCTCTTCCCGCTGGGATCCGCCCCCACGCACCCCCCAACTCAGCCAAAATCCCACCGCTCAAAAACCGGGATCACGGGATGGAGCGTTACGGGACCAGCTGAGAACGTTCAGGGGGTTCCATGCCCAGACCCTCCCTGGAATTCCTAGGGCTGGAAATGCGTCTGGGCTCAAACAGGAGGTGAAATTCCCACTCCACGATTCCCAGAGCAGGAGCCCTGAGCACTCGGGATCAGCAGCTCCCAAAAATCCCATTCCCTGCTCTGCAACGGGATCTTCCATTGAAGAAACATTCCCTACTTCCTGCACTGCTTCAAATCCCATCCCAAACTTTTTCCACAGGGAAACGTGGTCCAGTTGGCCACTCTGGATGATGGAGATGCAGCTTCCTGCCCCTTTTCCCAGTGGAATCCATCCACACACCCCCACAGCTCAGCCAAAATCCCACCACTCAAAAACTGGGATCACGGGATGAACCAGGTCAGAAAATGAAGTGGTTTTGATGCCCAGATTGTTTCCAGATCCTCCCTGGAATTCCTAGGGCAGGAAATGCCCTTTTTTAGGCATCTGGGCTCAAACAGGAGGTGAAATTCCCACTCCATGATTCCCAGAGCAGGAGCCCTGAGCACTCGGGATCAGCAGCTCCTAAAAATCCCGTTCCTGTTCCC